TATTATTATTATTATTGAGAGAAAGAGGGAAGCTGGCAGGTTAAAAGGGCTTCTGGAGGAATTCCTAAATTATTTGGAGGAGAAAGGAACCAACTTAGGAGAGGCAGCCCTATTACAGTGTTGGGATGATGCAACAAAATGTTGCAACATGAAGTACTTCCTGCTCTCCATGCCAGCCATTCCATTCCATGAAACCCCTAAAGGCCTAAACAATGTCATGTTGTTTTTTTCCAGAGTTGTCTCGTGGACCATCGGGGGGGCAGGGGTGCATCCCCCCCATATTTCATACGGTGACCCTACGCCTCCGGTTACAAGCTGCCCCGGTGTCTTCCTGGGCTTGTCTTCGCTAGCCCCCCCCCGCCTGTGGGCTTCGTCATGGGTCCACCCCAGTGCCGTAGCTAAACCAGACGGAGTCCCCGACCCTCATGCGCTGGAGTCTCCAGCTGTGGAGCGGCATTCTCCGGGCGAGGTGGCAAAGCCAGCATCTCCGGACCATGGCAGCACCCAGCAGCGACGCCTCTTCCGGAAACGGTGGGGGGAAACCCATGGACGGGCCCGTGACGGCCGGGATCATCGTCATAGGGGATGAGATCCTAAAGGTACAAATTCTACTAAATAGAGAGCTTGGGGGGGTCTTTGGAGTGAGGCTAGAGACCTCTGCTTTGGGTTTTATTCCGAACTTTAAAGCCCTATCCGATCTATTGTAGGATTCGGGTCACCAGCCTGCGGTTGTGTATTAGCTATATCTTTATATCTGGTATGTCTTTATGGTTCGAAAGCAGGACACAGGAATATATTGCTGTGCCGGTTGGCTCGCTTAGCGCTGTTTCGCTACAGCGCATGTTCCCTTTTTTTTTAAAGCAAAAGCCTTCCACCTTCTTGGCTATCTTTCTCGGCAGGGCTACACCCAAGACACCAATTCCTTTTACATGTGCAAGAAGCTCCGCTCGCTGGGCGTGAAGGTCGCCAAAATTTCCGTGGTCCCCGACGAGGTGGACGCCATCGCCCAGGAGATTGTGGCCTTCGCCGGCGCCTTCACCTACGTCCTCACGTCGGGCGGGATCGGCCCGACCCACGACGACGTGACCTTCGAGGCGGTGGCCCGGGCCTTCGGGGAGAAGGTGGCCCCCCACCCGGAGATGGTGGAGCTGGTCAAGAAGTTTTTCGGGAAGTCTGACGCCGCTTCTCCCGAGATGAAGCTGGCCCGGGTCCCGGAGTCGTCCCTCCTCAACTACGGCGTGGACGAGTCGACGGGACGCGCTTTCCCCTACCCGCTGGTCAGCGTCCGTAACGTTTACATCTTCCCGGGCATCCCGTCTCTGATGAAGCGAGCCCTCGAGGGTTTGAGCCACCTCTTCCGCAACGAGAAGACCCGTTTCTGCTCCCACGAGATTTACGTCAACGCCGACGAGACGCAGATCGCTCCGGTCCTCGACCGAGCCAACGCCGGCTTCGGGCGCCGGACCAGCTTGGGGTCCTACCCGGATTGGGTCAACAATTACTACCGGGTCAAGCTCACCCTGGACTCGGACTCCGAAGCCGAATTGGAAAAGGTTTACTCCTTCCTGATGGAGAATTTGCCCGACGGCGTCGTGGTTCCCCTGGTCGCTGACCCCGTCTCCCGGGCGGCCACAGATGTGTACGCCCTGGCGGCATCTGGTAAGAGCAGAAACAAACTCATCCCCTTTTTAGAAAAAAAAATAGTTAAATACGGTTGTTATCATGTGCTGTCAAGTGGCCTCCGGCTTGTGACAAGCCTAGGAACGAGCGCTCTCCAAAATGCCCGCATGTGCTGTCAAGTGGCCTCCGGCTTGTGGCAAGCCTAGGAATGAGCGCTCTCCAAAATGTCCAGTCCTCAATAGCCCTGCTCAGCTCTTGGAAACTGGAGCTTGTGGCTTCTTTGAGGGGGTCCATCCATCTCACATGGGGGGTCTTCCTCTTTTCCTGCTGCCTTTGTTACCTTTCCCAGCATGATCCTCTTTTGCAGAGAAACCAGCCTGCTCGAGAGGTGCCCGAAGGAGGACAGCCTCCGTTTCAACATCTTTGCCTCCAGAGAGACTTCAGGCTTGACTTGATCGAGGACCCCCTGGTTCGCCTTCCTGGCCGTCCCGGGAATTCCCAAAGCCCTCCTCCAGCACCCCATTTTTCATACTAATCGAACTGCATTTTCAACAAATCCTCCGTTTCAACCATTTTTGGCTCGGCTACGAAGCCTGCTGGAAATCCTTGGGCTGGCTCCTTTTCTTCGGAGCATAACCTCCCTCGCAGGGCTGTTGTGTGGACAAAACACAACTGGGAGTGGGGGGGTGTCCTTGCACAGGCCACTTTGAGCCCCAACGAAATCCAGTGGTGCCTCGCATAGCGAGATTAATCCGTTCTGGATTAACCTTCGCTATGGCGAAAAATCGCGAAACGGAACGGGGAAAGCCAATAGGCTCCAAAACTCACCGTTCAGCAAAGTTGTCCCATAGCCGGCAGCCATTTTCGCGCCCTTGGTAAGCAAGGGGAGGGCGCGAACACGCTGCACGTCGCCCTCGGTAAGCGAGGGGAGGGCGCGAACACGCTGCACGCGGCCATTTTGGAACCGCCGAACAGCTGATCGTTGGGCATCACTTTGCAATGATCGGTAAGCGAAACGATTACCGATCATCGCAAAGCGAGTTTTGCCCATAGGGGCCATCAGTATGCGATCGCATTTGCGATCGTTAAAACCTCTTCGCTATGCGATTTCGTCGTTCTACGGTGCACTCGTTAAGCGAGGCACCACTGTATACCAGGAACCAATCAAGAAATCTTGGGTCACCCAGGTTTTCAAAGACCAGCTGCTCGGAGATTTCCAGATACCCTTGATTCTTCATTTATATAATCTATATTTTTAAATCAGGGTAGCGTGGCTTAGTGGGGGCGGGATCCATTTCTGATCTGCGTGCGACGGGGTGCTTCGTGACCTCCCGTCTTCTCTTCCCTCTGCAGGCTCCCCCCTTGGCCAGAAGGTGGCGGTAGCGCTCCGCACCATAGAAGAAGCCTTGGACCGCTATCCGCTGTCGAAGCTGTGCCTCGGGTTCAACGGCGGGAAGGACTGTACTGCTCTGCTCCACCTCTTCCACGCCGCTGTCCAAAGGTGCTTCCACCCTCTCTTAGAACGATCCGGGGCGTTCGTTTCCGTAACATCGTCCTTCTAGCCACCTTGCAACGCCATTACCTCCCCCATCGCAGTTAAAAAACGGAGAATAACACCCTTTTAGGTTATTTCCTATTTAAAGCCTCGGCATCTTTCTAGTCCTTATCGAGGACTTAGAACTCCGGAGGGTCAAAACGAGGTTCCTTATTTGCCCCCATGGGGCGAGAGGGTGTCACCGGAGATGATCGGGGCAATTAATTTGAAGATTACTAGCCTGTGTTAAAAAATACTAAGGTAGAGTGTCTACCCAGCAGACCACCTCTTTCTCCGCTTCCTAAATACCTTACGCTGTCCTTTTTTTCCAGGCGAAACCCGGAGAGGACGGAGAAGCTACAGGTTCTCTACATCCACACCGTGTCCCCATTTCCCGAGATGGAGGAGTTTATCCAGAACACGGCTCAGCGGTACAAACTGGGGTTTTACGCCACGAGCCGGGCTGCCGCTGCAAAAGTTTTCAAAATCTGAATGGCGCTTAGACTCCCCGGGAGCATCTTAGCTCGGGCAAGGGAGAATCCGTGCCAAACTTTCAGCACATTCAAGGGCGATTGCCGACTCTGTTTGTGGGATCCGCTCGGCCGAAAAACGTTTAAGCTCCCCCCCCCCCATCGCAGGGCTTAGAGTGGAGTCCAAAATCATGGGCGATTCCACGATGGAGTTAGTTAACGGTCGATGATCTGGGTTGGCCAACAGAAAGAAAAAGTGGCAGGGGGTGACTTAAAACAGGATCGAATCCATTCCAAGCGAGTATCCATATGTATTTAACAAGATTATTAACCTTGTTTAGGAGGCAGTATGGTGTAGTAGTTAGAATTAATGGCACTGATAATAATATTTATATAAGCGGCACGCTTTGGTTTACTTTATAATAATAATTCTGCACAGTCAAGTCGATTCTGACTTTTAATGACCCTTTTTTAAAGGGGTTTCCAGGTAGAGAAGACTCAGAAGTGCTTTACCTTTACCTTCCTCTAGGGGCGCTGTGGGGCTGCGCAGCTTGCCCAAGGCTCCCCAGGCTGGCTCTTCTTACAGCAGGGGAATCAAACTCCCAACCTCCAGCTCCTCAGCCAGACCCCCCAAACCACTGAGCTATACAGCCAGCCGTGCCAAATTTAAGGCCCGGACAGACTGGGAATCTGCCGTTCCTTCTCTCTGTCCCTCTTTGCCTGGCCTACCTTACAGGGCTGTTAGAGAGAGAAGCCATGAACGCTATCCCTGTCGGAAAAGAGGGACATCAGTGTAACTGACAAATAGGTAATAATAAAAAGAAATCTTCAGAGCCTGTAAATGTTTCGCCTTCATCCTCGGCCAAGGAATATTATCCATGAGAGGCGTTAGGCAAATTATAATGAATACAGACTGGCAGTTTGAAGGTCCGGCTTGCCTCCAAATATTTATTTAAAATATTTTTACCCCACCTTTCCCTTTGAAAAAGTCCCAAGGGGGCTGACGTCATTGAAAGACTGCATTTAAAGCTAAAAAACAGGAAGTATACAAATATTGAAAAGGATCAAGCAAATGCCGCTCTTAAGAAACTGTAAACAAAAGCAACAATAAAAACATTCAAAGCAGGAAGGCCATTAAAAAAAAACCCCGTCATTGAGGGAAAGCCTGCCTGAAGAGAAAAGTCTTGGCCAGCTTGCGGAAGGAGAGCCAAGATTGAGGCCAGCCCGGTGTCCAGTGGCAGGGAGTTCCAGAGTCTGGGAGCGGCCGCCGATTAATAGGGTTTGCGGATTCCCCCTCCATGGTCTCGTTTGCTCCTCGCAGGTACAACCTTCACATCTGTGACGTCCACGGGAACATCAAAGAAGCCCTGAGCGACCTGAAGGCCAAACAGCCGGACCTCGAGGCCGTCTTGATGGGCACCCGCCGGACCGACCCGTATTCCTGCACCCTCTCGCCTTTCTGCCTGACCGATCCGGATTGGCCCCAGTATATGCGGGTCAACCCACTGCTGGTACGTGGAGCCCCGTCCCAAAGACGGAGCTTTTATGTGGCTCAAGGTTCCGGACATCAATGAACACCATAACACCCTGTCTGGGTTTCTCTGGGTATTAGGGATCGTAGTGAAACCCCTTTGCACAATCCTCCTGCGGCCTCGTAGGGACAGCCATTCAAGACCCAAGACAGGGTGTTTGTGGTAGTTGCTCCCGGCCTGTGGAACTCCCTGCCAAGGGAGCGTAAATATCCCCCCCTTCTCCCAGGTCCCGTTGAACAGAGAATCCATCTCTCTTTGAGTCAGTACTGAGGTCCATGACTCGATAGGATCTTGATAAATCTAATTTTCTTTTTCCTTTCTGATCATGCCACAGGACTGGACGTACCGGGATATATGGACATTCCTTCGCTCCCTATATATCCCTTATTGCATCCTATATGACAAGGGGTAGGTACCGTTGTGGCCATTTTTTTACAGTATCCACGGAATCGTCATCTGCGGGTTCACTGATCCGCAATCTAAAACTATGAAAAGAGAAATCCTAGAAATATATATTTCTAAAGATGAAGTTACCAGAACTGGCCATGAGAGGGAGCCAGAGACCATGCTATGGCTAAGCATTCGCTATTAAAATAGTGTTTGCTGTTATCCACATATTTCAGCATCCACAGTGGGGCTTGGAACCGATGCACTGGAGATCCAGGGGTTCCTTTAGCAAATAAAAGCTTTAGCTGTTCCCAAAGTTAGCCAGGAAGGTTCATGGGTCAAGGGAGGACCTGCACCCTTGGGTTTTCCTCCTTCACCTGGATTTAGATTTGCCATATCCGCCTCAGCAGAGTAGGCTTAACCACAAAACTGCAATTCGGTCCCTGTTTTGACCCTTTGGGTGCCAGCTTTAGCCTTCAAAATCTCTCTTTCTTGGGGGCCAAATAGATAAATAAATAAAGCGATTTGGAGATGAGATTGTGGGGCAGTTTCGGGGGAAACACGCTGTATCTCATGAGAGGGGCAGGTCACCATTATGCTTACCCCAGTTTTAAAGAAATCAATATTTTATTTAATTTTTGCACTTTTAACTCTCAGTGATTTGTGGAGGGAGGGTGCAAGCCTGCTAAAATTGCCCACCCCGACGTAAAACAGGGCGCGTCAGCGATCCGGCCATCCTAGAAAGCAGCCACCGCCCCCCCCGCGCGCTTTTTGATGCATTTCAGTGCATTCAACCTCTTTCTCTCTCTCTCTTCTCCGTTTTTCTCTTCGTCCGGCCGCTCCGCCCAAACCGACAGCTACACCTCGCTCGGCAGCAAGGCCAATACTCAGAAGAACCCCGCTTTGCGGTACGTCGACGCCCAAGGCCGGGAGCGCTACCGGCCGGCCTACGAGCTGGAAAACGAGGAGGACGAACGGAATTCCCGCCACTGAAGCCACGCCGGTAGCTGGACGGCGTGAAGACCGAGCCTGCCGCCGGAGGCGAAAACCGTCGGTGCGTCTCCACCCGCTAGGACGCTGCGTCCGAAGAAGAGAAGCGTCTCCGGCTTTTTCAGCGCCCCGGGCCGAATTTGGGGTGGCCCTACCCCCCCTTCCGGTGACGATGGAGCCTTGCGCGGGGCGGTGATCCTAGGCCTGTATACATTGGCCGTCGGCCTCTGGGAGGAGAATAAAGGTCGGAAAGAAACCCGGGTCACGTGTATTGAGCGGTGCATTGCTGTACACCCATGTTTAAGCGTCCAAGGAGCGTGGAGAGTTTACGGGTCCCAGGGAGGGAGGGATACAGAAATTAACCTGCATCGCCTTGAACCCCTGCGTCCAGCCCATTGCAGGGGCAAATTTAGACACTTGGGTACCAATCTTGAAAATTGAGGTAGCCGGATCATCACCATCAAATGTCTGTGGGGCAGGTGGGATCAGCTAAGATTTTGCCTAATATTTTATCTATCTATCTATCTATCTATCTATCTATCTATCTATCTATCTATCTATCTATCTATCTATCTATCTATCTATCTATCTATCTATCTGTCTGTCTGTCTGTCTGTCTGTCTGTCTGTCTGTCTATCTATCTATCTATCTATCTATCTATCTATCTATCTATCTATCTATCTATCTATCTATCTATCTATCTATCTATTTATTCTATTTATATCCCTCCTACCTAGTCAGTATGACCACTCTAGGCGTCTAATACACAGATGGAGGCGGATGAGCCCTCAGGGTGCCCTTGGACCACAAATCCCATCACCTCTGGCTGGGGTGGATGGGGAGTATACTCCAACAGCCCCTGGGAGGGGTACCGACTCTATCTGTACGACACATGAAGACCCCCGCACACCTTCCTTCCCATAAACTCACTGGCTCCCCCCTCCTTCCTCGTTTCATCCTTGCCACGACACCCCTGCGAGGTAGGTCAGGAGGAAAGAGAACGGAATTGGTCCGAGGTCACCCTGTGGATTTTTAAAGGCTCAGCGGGGAATTGAGCTTCGTCGCCGTCGTCATCATCTTAGGACTGCGAAGCTGGAAGGGGCCCTGTGGGTCATCAAGTCCAAGGAGGCCCAGTGCGGGATTCGAATTCCCAACCTCTAGCTCCTCAGCCAGAGACCCCAGCCCTGCTGATTTCCAGCAGTTCCTCCATCGTACCAATAAAACGATGCTTAGAGGTCTTCATTTCTGCCCGGGGTGGGTCTTTTGTCCAGCTAACGGGTCTTCATTAAACATCCTCAAGAGTATGTTCCACGGCACCAGGAATATATCACAATAGTATTGGGGAATTCATCTCCAGCTACCCCCCCTCCTGCCCCAGCTACTCCATCTGCTGAATAAAATTTTCCATCTGATCAAAAAAAGCAGAGCCGTTCCCCAGCTGTGGTAAACCTACAAAGTTTTGGGGGAAATGCTCTTGAACTACAATGCCTATCCTACCCATCCGCTATGGCTGGGGGAACCTGGACATTGTAGTCAGCGGGAGGCCTTTTTCCCCCTCCGCTCTTCCCATGGGCAAAACCGGCACGTGTCAGCTCTTCAACGCTGGAGCCCTTGTGTTGACTATTATGGGATGCTGGCTCTTTTTTCCAGAAAGGGCGGGGGAGCCGGAGGGGGGAAGCCCAGCGCCCACGGGACTGTCCTGAATAAGACCTCATGACCTCCCGGCCGGCAGAGAGGTTTCCAGCCTTCACCCCGTCACAAAGGGGCCGAGAGCGAGAGAAATCTCCCGGTGTCAGCTAAAAAGCCGACCCGTCCCGGGGGCCTCTCCAGAGCAGGATGGGACCTTCTTGGCAAAAGTTGGTGGCCCCCTGGCCCTGGGTCGGGCCGGTCCCCGGGAGTCCTTACGGCCCGCGGCGGAGGCCCCCCGGGCTCGCGGTCCCGTACGCTCAAAGCCGATACCTGGGTTACGGGCCCTCAGAAGCTCTCCGAGAGTGCCTGTATCTCCTCCTCTGTTGCTGGTGCATCAAGGGGCTGCTGGATTAGCTGCCTGGAGGGGTGCTCCGTCTGGCGTGTGCCGTGCCCTGCCCGGGATGCGTGCCCTCCCCAGTGGGGGGGGGGCGGTCTGTGTGGCTTCTCTTCCACCCTCTCCAGAGATTCAACCCGGACCCTGCAGCTTCGTGGCCAGGAAAGAGCTGCCCGGAGGGGTGCTCTGTCTGGCGTGTGCCGTGCCCTGCCCGGGATGTGTGCCCTCCCTGGCGGGGGGGGGCGATCTGTGTGCCTTCTCTTCCACCTTCTCCAGAGATTCAACCCGGACCCTGCGGCTTTGTGGCCAGGAAGGTGGCAAAGGTGAGCGGGGACCGAGCCGGCCCTCCTGCGCAGCGGAGTGGGGCAACAGGCGGAAAAATACGGGGGGCGGGTGTCTGCCATACCACTGAGCCATGGAGAAGGTCCCCTTCGCGGCCTGCCTGCTGTGTGTGTGCATGTTTGCCCCTTGTTGTCAGCAAAAGGAAAGTTAAACTACCCGTATTTTTCCGTGTATAAGATGCCCCTATGTACTATAAGACACACACACCCCACTTTTCTAACCCAAAATTAAGAAATCTAAGTGGGGCTTAGCAAGTGTAGGGGGAAAGGGATCGAAGCGCTGCAGGATCGCTTTGATCCCTGCTTTCCCCTCCACTTGTTTTTTTTCTCTTCTCAGTTTACTTCTGTGTATAAGACGACCCTCAAATTTTATTCTAAAGATTTTAGACAAAAGTATAGTTTTATACATGAAAAAACGGTATATTTTAAATAAATGGGGCTCTCTTCTACCCTTTGGGGCGCTGGATCCTGGGGTCCTTTTCAGTACGATCTGGCAAGGGTCTTCTGAGGCTCCGATAGGTCACAACGGGCAAGGCTGAACCTCCAGGTTCAGAAGCAGTCTACCTCCGAGGATGGGCCACTGGTGGTAGTGCAGGAACAAACAACGAGGTGGGCAACTCCCTAGGCCCGCACATTTAGCTGGCCACCGTTAGAAAAAGCATGTGGCGGTAGACACAGACGAGGAGCCGTGTTTATGCCAAGGGCTGGGGAGTCTGGTTGCCGGAGTGGATGTTCTCGAACCAGCCATGGGTCACACAAGGACCCCGGTTTTTCTCCCCCATATTTTTATCAACATGCAATTTCTTGGCTAGCATTTCTCCCTGTCTTTCATTTCAGGCCCTTAAGATGGAAAGGAGGACAATACACATGGAACAGCAACATGGGTTATGTGATCCCTTCCCTCTCCATCGCGGGACAGATTTTCAACGACAGACTTCACAGCTCTAAAACTTCAGAGAAATTTTTCGGACTTCTGAGCTCTTTTTTAATATGATGAAAATGACACATATCGTTCGTCTTCAAAACAAATTAAGAACGACCCTGCTTAAATCTGTCCTCAAACTTTTCTCTAGCTTGATGAGGTGACCTGGAGTACTCCGAAGCTTGCCTATTTAGTATGGAATTGTAGTTATTTCTAATAAAAAGCATTCCTTTCCTGTGGCATTTTTGGAGTTTCTGTTGTAACGGGTAACAACAACAAACACACAGGGCAGGCTGTAATAATAAGCCAGTTACCCGGGAGAGCCGATGCTGGTTCCCTAAACAATTATGATGATGCTCAGCCTTAGGAAAGAAGACAGGAGGGGGCAGGGAGCATCGTTTGGCGCCACTGGAGAATTGCACTGCTCTAGAGTAGTGAGAGCAAAAGGAAAGAGAGTTCCTGTCTCTTTTGGGAAGGGGTGCAACAAAGAACAGCCATGCGGTTGCGCCCCAAAATTAAGATTAATTTTTTATTTATTTATTTTGCTTGAAAGTCCATTTGTGCCCACTAGGCCATTATGACCTGTGACAGCATTTCCTGATCCACACATCTCAAATATTTTTTTAAAAATTTGGCCACTAGAGGGCATGAGAAATCTTGTTTTAAAATCGTTTTTTTTTTTTAAAAAAAAATCTTTTTAACAAATCTTTTTTAAAAAAACATCTCAAATAAATTTTAAAAAATCTGGCCACTAGAGGGCATGAGAAAGCTTTTTTTAAAATCTTTTTTAAAAAAAAATCTTTTTAACAAATCTTTTTTTAAAAAAATATATATATATTTAAAAAATATTTTAGAGCTGGATGGGGCATAGCTGGTTGTGGCCGTCCAATACCCAGGAGCTGACATGTGAGGGTCTCGGAGGACTAGATGCTTGCCCCCTCCACGATTCATCATAATTTAATAATTAGGGGTTGTCAAAACTGATTTCAACATACAACCATCCTTTCCGAGGTTTTTCTAGGTAGTGCTTTACCCTTCCCTTCCTCTAGGGGGAGCCCTGGGACTGTGCAGCTTGCCCAAGGCTACATAGGCTGCCTTTTCTCCCGGGAACCCCAGCGGGGATTCAAACTCCCGACGTCGGGCTCTGCAGCCAGGTCTTGAGCCACCCAGGCAGCTTGTAAAGGGTTCAGTCACTGAGCTGAATTCCAGCTCTTGGCCCAGATACAAGGAGATCATCACAGCTCCGCTCTGGAAGAAGGATCTGAAAGCTGCACCGGGGGGTCAGACTAGAGGACCTCCGAGTGTCCCCATTGGAAAAAGCTGGCAATCTTTGAATCGGGGAGGCTAGGAGTCAGAGAACGCCCTTATCTCTCCCTCCCTCTTGCACTGGCCACTTCCCCATTCCCGGGCTGGCTTCTTGTCTCCATCTCTCCTCCAGGACGTTTCCTGCTTCCCTTGATAAGATCCTCTCTCATTGCAAACTCCAGACGGCCTGGAGGCTCCTGCCCAGAGGTCAGCGCCAGGCCGGGCCACCCGCCAGCCAAAAAAAACGGCAAATTAGCAGGAGCTGGGTGGATAAGGGCTGGGGAAACCATCCACCCCAGAGGAGAACATCTGGGGGGTCCTCCGCCAGCTGTCCCTGCCCCGAGGTCCTGCGCCCACCAGGCCAAGATCAGATACCAGCCCTGGTGCCAGCTTGGCGCCAGCATCCCCTTCGTCCGGTCTCCTGCTTCCCCGGGGAGGCCGGCTCCTTCTTTCCCCGACGCCTCCCGATTTTGGGCCTGGGTGCCCCCGAAAAGGGGGGAACCGTGGGGTCCCGGCTTGGGAGGGGCCACTGCCCCCCTCCCCAAATCCTTGCCAGCTTCCCCTTCGAAGCGGATCTGGGAGCAGCCAGGCGCCAGTCCGGCCTCTCTTATCTCCTGTGTGGAAGTTGGAAAAGGAAATGTAAGAGCCGAACGGGCTCCTTGCCATCAAAAAAAACGGGACACCCGCTTGTTTTAAAGGGGCAGGATCTTCGGATCCTCGTACAGCGGCTGCCCCGTGTTATTAATAATGTGTGCCCCCCCCTCCGGACAGATTCCTCCTGACTTTGGCACATGTTTACCCACTTGGGTGGTTTTAATCCCCTTTTTCGGTCCGCTTCCAGAACGGACGGAGGCTTCGGCCCTCAAGCAGCCCAGAATTTCAGGGGAATTTCGAAGGAAGGAGACGTTTCGTGCTTTTTTGCGGCCGCTTATGAGAAAACATGCCCCACTGGGGGCTTACGGGACCGCCGTGCGGGGGGCACCGATCGGGCACCTCAGGCGAAGCCCACGAGCCTCTTTCAAGAGGCGAACAGTCTGGAAACCATCGCCCGGAGGCGTTCTCGTGGATTCGCCCACGAATCCACGCAGCCCGTGGGTTCGCCCGTTTGGCCGGCTTCGCCAGGCCCTCCTTCAGAAATTCGCATCGCGAAATCCGTAAAAAGCTTACGGATTTATTTGATCAAGGAAAATGTGGCATGAATTCGATGCATGGGGAGAAGCTCGGAAACCGTGCGGTGAAACCCACACAGTGGGATTTGACCGATCGTGAACCCCCGGTGCGGTGCATAGAGTGACAGGCTGGGACTCTGCGAGTCCCGGGTTCAAATCCCCACTCAGCCAGAGAAACTACTCCTTAAATATTGTGTTGAAAACCCTATTAGGACCGGTTCTAACTTGACGCCCCATAACACAGGCCGACGGGGCCCTATTCTGTTTTGCTTTTCCTCCACTGAGTTCAAGGCAGGGCATAAGCTCCCCCTTTTTATTCCAGCTTCGTAACAACAACCCAGTGAGGTAGGACAAAGAGGCTCAGATCCTGTCCACTCACGTGTTGGCAAAAGGGTAATCACGTTACCATGTCTCCTCCGATGCCAGGCTCTTTTCTCCGTGAACCGGGAAGCGCTGGCTGCCAAATTACTGGCGCCACCAGATGCACCGCTAGCATTCCGGAGACCCGAGTTCGAATCTCCGCCTGGCCACGGGAACTCACTACTGGAGCGTTAGAACTGGTAAAACCGCTCTTGAAACATCTCACTCACCACGAAAGCCATATTAGGGTCTTTATAGATCGGTCTTCATGTACTTTTTATTTTTATTTATTTAAAAATATTTTTACCCCGCCTTTCTCCTTCAAGGGGACCCGAGGCGGCTGACATCATTGAAAGGGCAACATTTAAAACAAAAACCAATAAGTATGCAAATATTTTAAAGGATCAGATCAATAGCTCCGGGGTCGAGGTCTCCGGCCGCAGAGTTGGGTGTTCGAATCCCTCCCCTGTGCCTCCTGATGATGCCTAGAGTCCCTTCCAGCTCTACGATGATGATGATTAGCATCATATTAAAAACAACAACAGGTAAACAGTACTGAAACCCTATTTCAAGCTGATTTTGGCTGGGGGGGGGTCGGATCTGGGATTTGAATCCAGGGTCACCTCTCTGACCACTACACCTTCCTGTCTTTTTTTGGGGGGGGTCATTCAAAAGAAGAGCCATTCAAAAGAAGAAGAAGAAGAAGCCTTGGGCTCCGAGGACCCATTGACAAGAAG